CCCCAAAACCCCAAAACCCCAAAACCCCAAAACCCCAAAACCCCAAAACCCCAAAACCCCTGCGAGTTTATAAAATTGAATAAATATATTTCTTGATGGCGAAAGTCTATGCTACTGGTCAACTTGGTTATAAGAAGTATTGCCAAGAAAGAATTAGTTATATCAATGAGTTAAAACTGGAAAAATAAAGAACGGATCCGCATGCTAGGTAATCTACATTTTATTACATAATTTGGAATTTGAAATTTTACCATTGTGCTAGGTTTATTAAAAGATGAAGAGATGTATAAGCTTCGAGAACAAAATAACTCTCTTGAACGTCTTTCAAAATTAAAGGGCTCTCTGCAAGACCTTAAAAACGCTGGTTCCTCTCTTCAAAAGGTCAAAGAAAAGATGAAAGAGGAGCAAGAACAGATCCGTCGAGAAGAGATGCGGCGTAAAATGAAGGAAAACCTCCAAGACCGGGTTAAGCTAAGCAAACAACGTGAGCAAGAAATCAAGGAAAAGCAAGAGCAAACCAGTAAACTCTTGATTGAAAAATTTATGAAAGAAGAGCAAGACTTCACTCTTAAATAAAGAGGAAGAAGAGAAAAAGAGAGCTGAAGAGATTAGAAATAAAGAACTGGATATCAAGAACAAGTTCCAAGAAAGACAGAAGCTTGCTATGCTCAAAGATGAAGAATCTAGGAGAAGAATTGAGGAGATGAAGGAAGCTAGGAACAAAGTGCCCACTCCAGCTCCAGTAGTCGCCAAAAAGCTTCCACCAGGTGTAGAAATTGACCCAAATTCATTTAATTTTAATGTTACTGAGTTGATCAAAAATAGGGGTTCCAAGAGTCCCTCTATTGTAAGGTCAAATGCGATAAACAGGGTGAAATCACATCTTGAAAAGGAAAAGGAGAAATAAGGTTGCATTTTCAAGTAATACATCAGTACAAAGAAAGAAACTAGGATTTCTAAGCACGGTCAATAAGGATAATCATATTGGCAGCGTGGCTCTACACAGTGTTAACTCCCAGTCTCCTACACTTGATTCTAAGAAGAAACTCCCTTCTCTACAGAAACGGTTAAAGAGGTTAGTGGACCCAATTGCTGCCAAGAGCAAGGTTGAAAAATTGATGAGGAAAGTAAGTATAAAATCGAGAAAGAAAGAGCAAAACCATGTTGCCGATTCTATGAAGAGCAAGAAAAGAGAGAGAAACAAAATTATCGACAGGCTCGCTATGCTAGGTAATATAAGCGTCGCTCCTGTCAAGAATAAGAACACTACTATTCAGGATATATGGAGAGGACATGACTCAGTAGTAGAAAGAACGAAGAGGTCTGATTTTGCTAATCCTATTAACCATGCTTCTTACGCTCAATCTCCAGAAATTTCTTTAATAGAGAAAGAGAGTCCACATACTATTGAGAAGACGAGCAAGACGAGGAGGAAGAAGCCTTCCTTCTCTACTCATGCCAAGAATCTTGACTTATTTTTAGAAGATTCAATTATTGAGAAATACACTAAAACTTCGAGAAAGAAGAAATCTAAGAAAGGAAGAAAGCGTGGGTTGAATAAAAGCGTTGTAAGTAGTGCCTTCTTTAAAGGTATAGATCCAAGAAAATGTCGGGATCCTTCCCAAGTCACTAGAACATCACTTGTCAAAGAAGATTAAGCAAGTAAATCCCTCTTTTGATGAAGCATTCAAATACTATGATAACGATATTCACGATCTTATTGAAGATAAGGTTTGAAGAACCAAGATTCAGCATCAAAGCGAAGCTGCCTCTCCAAGGTTCTTAATGGCACTTAAGAAGAAGCAGAGAATGAATGAGTACTGGAAGGCCAGAGTTAGAAAGGACTTCACCAGACTTGATATAAAAGAAGAGAACCCAGAAAGCCCAAAGGGAGAGAATTCAAGCTTCAGGCTTTTACCTACACAGAGATATAAGAAATAGTGGTATTTCTTGCCCAAGTAGTCATTAGTGGTGAAACCCATCTATTATGACTATAATAAAATTATTTATTGCAGTATATTCAATAATATGAATGCTACTTGGGGTTTTGGGGTTTTGGGGTTTTGGGGTTTTGGGG